ATGTCCATTGTTTCTTAGAATTCATTCTTTGATTTTGGGGAACAGGAACTGGGCATATCCGACAGGGCATAACTGGGCAGGTGGGGAAGTTTAATTATTCCCCCTATATTACTATGAGCTTTGCACTCACCAAGAGATGAACCCATTGTGTTAGTGACACAAACAGGAAGGATGTGTACATGTGAAGAGGAAACTCTCTCAACTCTTTCTGAACTTACTTAGTGCTCTTAAGCCTAAAATTCTTTTTTTTTTGTACCGGGGATAGAACTCTGGACCTTGTGCTTTCGAGGCAGGCGGCCAAACCAGAGCTAAAGCCCCAGCCCTCTTAAGCCTAAAATTCTAAGTTAACCTGCTTTGGAAATGAAAACTGTCATGAAATCTAGACTATATGTATTATTGTAGTTTCTGCAACACAAATACTGTATATCTATAAACTTCCAGGCAGTTAAGTGCAAGTTTTATATTCAGAGGCTTGCTGTCAGCTGCACTATCTTTCACTTCCTCAAAATATATTTATTAAATATCAGTGCTGGGGCCCGGAGACATATACCCCCAAAATACGGCAGTTTTAAGCCACACTTTATCTAAACAAAATGAAAAGGCCTTGAAAATATTCCCATTCCTCTCCCATCCAGGGGATGAAAGGGCTCTCTCTGGAATTCCCCTCATCTGCATAATCCCACACTGCAAAGGAACACAATTGTCTTCCACCCTCACCCCCAAATCCCATTCTCTCCCTCAGAAAAGAAGAGTGTGGAATGTAATTACAGCTTTCCCTACAAGATAATACCAGTCCCTTGGGCCTATTCATGTTCCAGAGTCTCCAGTCCATCCATTCCCCTAATAATCATTTATAAGCCCTCAAATTTGTCTACACTCCCCATTCTCCTCCTCCCCAATAGAAATGGTATAAAAGTGAGTGAAAAATGTGAAGTAGACAGATAATATGTGATCTCCAGCCCCACTGCTGTTTTCTCTTTTTTTCATGTTAACAAACATATTTGCCTTTTCTTCTATGTAATCTTATGTCAGTTTATTTTAGCAAACCCTCCCCCTCTGTGTTATGAGCTGCTCAGGTGTTGGGGGCACAACAGGGAATGAGGAAGTCTTGATAATTGAGGAGCTTATAAGTCTGGGCAGAGGCCATTGACCTGTTGAGAGGAAAGTGACAGGAAAATCTCCAAAGACAAGAATACATTTAAAAGTCTAGAGAGCACAAGTGATAGTGTGCCTGGGATAAATGGGGAAGTGAGCCAGGAAGATAGTGTGGCTAAAACTGGCTGGGAAACGAGGCGCGATAAGGTTCTACAACACATGCATAGAACAGAACCCTAAATGTGGACTTCTCGTGAGAACCTGAGCAGGTTTTTTAATTTAGCTTATTGGTAAATTTTAGATATACATAATGATCACATTCATCATAGGGAATTTGTACCTGTGCATGATATACCTTGATTCTTTTTTTCCCAATCCCCTACCCTCCCTTCAACCTGTCTTCCCTGTTGAGAGCCATTCTACATAAATTTTGGGGAAAAATCATTTCATAATGAAAGTATGACTATAGCTGTCTAAGGCCTAATGTTGCCTCGCCTATGGGCTGGCTATGGCATGTGGAAACATCACTCTGTTTTGCCTCTGGTGACAAGAGGAGGCCTCAATAGTCCTGTGATACTGTGTCCCAAGGGCAAGATTACATCAGGGGAAGACATCCCGGTTCTGCTGAGGGACAAATTCCTTATCAGCTTAACTCACCCCACCTACTATTGTAAGAATGCTCTCCTTACCGCCCTCATCAACATAAGATCCTATTGACCTAAGATCCTCCCCAGCATAAGATCCGCATAGACCTAGAATTACCTTTGCCCCCTAAGTCACCTGATACTTCTGCTAATTATTGTGTGTATCCAATAAATAATGGCTAGCTTGGACAGTCTGTCTCTGCCTGCTCTCAGTCACTGACCTTCCAGCCTCCCATATATTTTGAAATTATGCAAGTCTCTATTGTATTTCTTTATCCCTTGCTGTCCCCTTTCTAGGCAGTCAAGGATTCTTCGACCTCTGATACTTCCCCTCATTTAAAAAAGCTTTGCTTCCATTTTTTCCTTCTTTTCCCATTTTTTTTCTTTTCCCTTCCTTTGAACACTTTCTTCCTATTTCACAATATCTATTATACACTTTGGCCCTTATTTACCCTTTTGGTTTCTCACACCAAAGAAACTTCAATATTTACACAGTGTGTGTCTGATTAGTTTCACTTAAGAGTATGGTCTCAAGGAGTAACCATTTACCTAGAAATGTCTCAAGTTTATCCTTCTTTATGGATGAGTAGTGCTCCACCGTATTAAAAAAAAACACAAAAAACCACACATCTGACCCAATCCAAAAATGGGCATCTGAAATGAATAAACACTTCTCAGATGAAGAAGTACAAATGGCACATAAATACATGAAAAAATGTTCAACATCACTGGTCATTTGAGAGGTGCAAATTAAAACAAGGCTGAGATTCCATCTCACTCCAGAAAGAATGGCTATTATCAAGAAATCAACCAGTAACAAATGCTGGCAGGGCTGTGGGGAAAGAGGAAGCCTGCTCCACTGCTGGTGGGAGTGTAGACTGGTGCAACCACTGTGGAAATCAGTAGGGAGATTCCTCAAGAAACTAAAACTAGAGGTTCCATTTGTCCCAGCTATTTCTTCTAGGTATCTTCCCAAAAAGAGTTATAAGGACCATACCATAGCGATATATGTACACCCATGCTTATAGTGGCACCGTTTGTAATAGCTAAATCTTGGAAACAGCCCAAATGCCCACTGAGCAGGTTTTTGATAGGATGACCCAGCTAGTGTGGGAAATCTAAAAAGAGACCATCGCCACTAAGCACTCACTAGCATGCCTCTTCATGCTAGCCCACCCTGCACTGTAGGGAGTATTTTAAGTTTTACCTACCTTCTTACTTGGCCCAAACTTGGTCTGCAGAGCCTGTTTTTTCCTCTACCCTTCTGGTTTGTTTGGTTGTTTTTCTACCTTTAACGAATGTGAAATTTTGCCACCATTTGTGCTTTTTTGGTTCAATTTTTTCTCCAGGACAGAAAAGACCTAGAAATCACCTCTAAAAGGAGACTCCAGCAGCCTAGAATCTGGTAACAGATGGGCATTCCAAGTTAAAAAGAACCAAAGCTAAATTTTGCAATGAACTTGAAATATTTGAGGAATGGTGAATTCATTTTGGCTGGAGTTTAGGAAAAAAGCAAAGAATGCAGAATAGGAAAATGGGGAGGTAGGCTAGCGTCAAATTACAGTGTTCTGGATGATACTCTGTAGATCCTTAACACTTTCTGTATAAAAAATGAGGTCGAGAAATAAATAGTAGATAGTAAGCAGAACAATGAGTGACCTCCACAGGTTTAAGTTTAGGGGGAAGAAATTCTAGAACAGTACCTAGAGCAAGCTGTTGAAGTATTGAGGAGATGCCTGATTTGGGAGGTGTTTTCGAGAATTAGTATGACATCTTGTTTACTTGGGTGTAGGGAGAAAGAGATGCTAAAGACCCCTGGGTTGCCAGCTCAAGGAAGTGAGTGGATGGTAATACTGCCAGCTGAGAGGAAACTTGGAAAGAAGAGCAAGGTGGGGAGAGAGGTTGGTTCTTGACATGTTCTAATAAAAGTGAGTGTGGAGTTTCCAGAGGGAACAAGAACTAAAAATAGGCTATGGTTTACAGTCTCAAAGTGTCTACTTATTAATGGCCCTTAACTGCAAAAGAGGAGGAGGTACCTCTATAGCAGAGAAACCTGGAGGACACCTTAACCAAAAGATTAGAAAACACCAAAGTTATGTGGCATGCTTTCTGAGGTCACACATCCATAAGGACACAAACCCTATCACTTATGAACTTCTACCACCAATTCGTAACCATTTCTAATGGGAAACAGTAGACAACCTTGAACAGAGGGACATGTTACAAAACGGCTGCCCTGTCTTCTTCAAAAATGTCAATGCCCGGGCTGGAGGTATAGCTCAGTAATACAGGACTTGCATGCATAAAGCCCTGGGTTCAATCCTCAGTACTGCAAAAACAAAAGCCCCAAAATGTCAGTACCATTAAAGACAGGCTGAAAAACTGTTCCACATTAAAAATGATTGAAGACATAACAGGCCAGGCATAATGACACATGTCTGTAATCCCAACACTCTGGGCGGCCGAGACAGGAAGATCACAAGTTCAAACCCAGCCTGGGCAAGTTGGTGAAACCCTGTCTCAAAAAATTACAAAAAACGCGCTGGGGATGTAGTGCAGCGAGAAGGCCCTGGGTTCAATCCTGGATTTAAAAAAAATGAAAGGAAGCAAAAAGAACGACATGACAGTAAAATAAATGTACTGGGTGAGGTCTGGGATCAGGCAGATAAATTTCTGTTAAAAAAAACTACCTGGCTCTTCTGCTTCTGTCCGCCATCGCGTGCGTGCGCTTGCCTCCGAGCCTAACCATGTCTTCTCACAAGACTTTCAGAATCAAGCGATTCCTGGCCAAGAAGCAAAAGCAGAATCGTCCCATTCCTCAATGGATTCGGATGAAGACTGGTAATAAAATCAGGTACAACTCTAAGAGGAGACACTGGAGGAGGATCAAGCTGGGGCTGTAAAGAATTGAACATGAGATGCAGCATATTTCTCTCCCAGGAGTCACAAAATGATACACTCTTTATCATGGTCGAGATCACATTACCATATCAAGCTTAAATACGATTGGCTGGACAGTTGAATGTGCTTAATCAGGAATCTTGTTCTGTGATCACACTGAGTCAACAATAAATGTTTTGAAACCTTTACAAAAAACCACACACACACTACCTGGATTCTGCTCCTGTAGCATAGCAGCAACTCTCGGGCTGCGGAGGCTGAGTACTTAGTTCAGATACTTCCTAGTGCCTCGCGCCGTATTGCCTCCTGCACATGCGTGCTTTTTGCTAGACATGAACATCCGGGCACTATGCGACTGGGGTGTCTGCTGAGACGTCATCGAGTAGCCGCTAGAATATGGCTGAGGCGGTGGACTTGGAGTGGTATGAGACGTTTCTGAAATTTATGTATTTTTAAAAATATGGTTGGTTCCCACTCCTCCTCCCCACTTCATTTTACAAAATAAGCCTTAAAAATGTTTCCTGCCTCTCACATTTGAGCACATTTTGTTTGGCGGTATTAGAAGGGGAGAAAGATGGCTGCCAGTGACGTTAAGTGCTGAGGAGGCGCCCCGGGGGCGTTTCAGACTCAGAGCAGAATAGGTTTTTCCTGAAACTATGTTGTAGCAGCCTAAGAAAAGTAGACAGAACCGCAGACAGTAGAGATTCAGTGTATGGTTTATTGACATGTTAAAAAAAAAAAAACACAAAACAGAAGAGAATGAAGTTTTCTAAAGCTGAGGGAAAACATTTCATGGTCAGGTGAACAGACCTTGCTATGGTCAAAGCAAAACTGACAAAATTGGCCAGTACCAAGATGTGAGCAGCTAATGGATTAAATTCCAAAGATAAATTGTCATAGATTTATTTTCAGGGGAAAAAAATAAAAATACAAAGTATATAATAAGGCTTTGCTTGAGTGTCACAGGGTAAAAGAGTCACAAAATTGTGTGTGTGTTTGTGTGTGATATTTTTAAGGAGAAAGCTGTGTATGAATCAATAATTCTATATCAAGTCATGCATGAAAGCCACAAAAGTAATTCTCCCTTGTATAAGAGCTCAGAAGAGTCCAGTCTTTCTGAAAATGTTACTATATATACTATAAATGTCTGAAAGATTAATAAAGAATTTTGAAACAGAAGTCTGTAGAAATCCTGATAGTACATATAACAATCAAATTAGGAAGGAAGTCCAAATAACTATTCTAAATGTGGTATGAAAGCACTATAAATGTTAAAAATAATTCAAATTTTATTTAACTTTTGTTTTTAAATACTTTTTAGTAAACACAATTTGATTCAATTAAAAATTATTGAAACTTGGTAAAACTCAAGACTACATAATAGGTAATATTACTATGTGTTTATGGTTATTAAGTTTTATAAAAGGGAATTGCACTATAGTTTCGTTAGAGAATGGCATCGTTAGTAGAAGACACGGAAGTACCTCTGAGTAAAAGATTATATTTATGTATTATGAGAATGAGAGCGTGTGAGAGCACAAATGTACCAAAACAATAAATAGTGAAACTGGATAAAGGATACATGGAAGTTCTTTGTAATATTTTCGTTTTGCTTTGTTTCTTTTTTTGAGACAGGGTCTCACTGTAGTTCCGGCTGGGCTTGAACTCACTATATAGCCCAGGCTGGCCTCAAACTCAAGTGATTCCCCTGCCTTGGCTTCCCAAGTGCTGGGATTACAGGCATGCACCAGCACATCTGGCTTCTTTATACTATTTTTGTACATTTTCTGTATATTTGGGATCATTTCAAAATAAAAGGTTTTTTTTTTTTTGGCGGTTCTGGGGATTGAACCTCCTTCCTAAACTATATCCCCAGTCCTTTTTTATTTTTTGTTTTGAGACAGGGTCTCATTAAGTCACCAAGGTACCCAAGCTGAGCTCAGCTTGTGGTTGTCTTGCAGGTGTGTACAACCGTGCTTGGCTAAAAATAAAATGTTTAAAAGTAATTTTTTAAAATACAGGATCCTGAAAGGGAGTGAAATCTATCACAAAGAAAGTCAAAAATTTTACAGTATTATTACAAGAGCATTAGAGCCTTTGTGTAAAAAAAAAATCATCTAAGGTCTATCCTCAATTATTCATGTTATTAGTGATAATTATAAAATACTCAGCCTCATAAACTTTGATTTAAAAATAAATTAAAATGTAGAAACAGGATGTTATTAATACTGCATATGGCAAGAGCCATTTCTATGAAGTGGTTGGAGCAGAAGCTGGTTTGACTGGGTTTATGGAGCAAGAAAGGAGAAAGTAGTGGAAATGAAAGGATGATTCTTGACCCATCTAGTAGAGTGATTTCTGAAGCACACATAATTTACCTGCTTGGTATTGAGTTTTCATAGTTGAAGTTTTCTTTGGCAGATCATACTTATAGGTAAAATAGTAGTTGAATGTGCTCCTGTATATTTATTTCAGGCTATAATGTAAGAGGATGGACTGCCATTGTTTTAAACTGGAAAGTACAATTAATTCCTAGACTAAAATTATAATTCTGACAGAGCTGTAGCACCATGTGAGGAAAGAGAAGTACTGTACCAGCATCCCAAAGACTCTGTTTGTTGCAAGTGACCAGGATGCTGAATGTCACCAGGGTTTTGCCTCCCTGGAAAGTATTTAGTGCTTGCAGGTCTGGGCTGGATTCTTGAGTAGACTAGAGTGATTGCTTTATTGGCTCTGGCCCTCATTGGCTGTCTAATTATACTCTTCACTCATAAAAGAGAAAGGAAGAGGAGTGTGTTTACACATTCCTCTTCCTTTCTGAAAATTGCACTGTGGGTTCTTCCCAGCTGCTCGGCTGAATGTTAAATTACCTGCTGTATCAGGGAGGGGAGAAAACCAGACCCAAGGAAAAACAGAGAAGAAACTGGTTCTCAAGATAATATTTGGGGGAGGGGAACCGGGAAGATGTGGGCCAAATGGTACAAAGTTACAATGGTGTAAGATGAATAAGAAGAGGTTTAATGTACAACATGAGGGTTATAGTTAATAATATTTTATGGTATCCTGAAAATTTGCTGAAAGTAGATTTTATGCACTTTAATTAGAGACAGAAAGAAGGGGGAGGGATGGAGGAGAAGGAAGGTATGTGAGATGATGGGTATGTTGATTTGTTTGACCAGTAATCCCTTCACTATGCATATGTGTACCAAAACATGTTTTACACCTAAATATATACAGTAAAAAAGATAGGGATGTTTATAGAAACATACATTTGTGATTGAAATGTTTTTAAGTATTGAGAAACATTTACAAATACACATCCAAGTCCAGTAACCTAGCAGCATGTTGATTTTCATTTGTTTGGAGTTCCATTAAACTTTTTTTCCATACAGACATATTGTTTCTAAATTGATGAAGCTCTATACATTTTATACATTTATACATCTTACACATTTTGTAGCATTATTTTAGAAACACCCTTTGTCTCACATTTTTAGCATAGAATTATTAATATCTGTGGTACCTCCATTGTATTTATATGTTATACATATATTTCATTTAATTATTTCCTTATTAGATGCTAGTGCTACTTTTTAAAATTATAAATAACTCTGTTGTAAATGTCTTCAGATGTATACATTTTTCTTTTAAATTTTTATATTTTCTTTATTCCAAGATACAGTTTTCTTCTTTTAATATATATTGAGATACGTTTTAGCTATAAAGATGGCAGTATTTATTTTTTCTCTTTAAAAGTTATGAAATTGATATTATATTAAAACTGAAACTGTCTTAGAATTGGAGAAATACAGTAATTATGTAATATAAATTTGGAGTACATGATTTACAGAGTCAAAATAAGTTTATGATATTTGATAAGTATATAAAAATGTCTTTTAAAAGGATTTTACCACTAACATCAGCATGGTTGTATTGCTGTTTTTCTACAGCTTTGCTAGCATATGAGAGCTAACTTTTCTGATTTTTAATAATTTTAATAGCTGTAAATGTTTTCCTCATTATTATTTTAATTTTCATTTATTTAGCTGTCTTGGTATGTGAGAAAGCTATGGATGTGAAGCAAACAAAAGGCAGAATTTGAGACTTCTCATAAATCATTCAGAAGAAAAACTCTTGATGTTTAACCACTAATATGGAAGAGAAAAAGTGAGAGTTTTTGGCTCTTCCCTTTTTATGCTGTTATAACTTTTTCTCTGCCATATGCAAAATTGGAAGAATTATGGACAACAATTTATAAAATCAGAGAACTTTTGAGTTTGATATACCCTTAAGGATTCCCTGGTTAAACCTCTCACTTTGCATAGGATTAAGTAAAATCGCAGTGAGATTCAAATTGTTCAAGATCTTGCAGCTTGTAAGTGCCACAGCTGAAATGTAAGACTAAGGTTCCAGACTTTTCTACCAGGCATACTGCTTCTCTTGTGCAAATTCTATTTGAGGGCTAATGAGGCATCTACCAGTCCTTGACATTTAGGCTAGGAAGTATAAAAGTTGGGCTTAGGATATTACTAATTCTTACAAAATACATTAGTCAAGAAAATGAATTCTTACGATTCAGATTTAAGATTGTAGAACCAAATTTATATCTGAAGATGGTGCACAAAATGAGAGTACATATCATAAACTCTTTGTAACAGAATTATGCAGTGAATTTTGAGTAAGGTGTCATAAGTATGTTAATTCAGATTGTAGGTGATTGAACCTTTTGGGGAACTGAATCATCATTATCTTGATTTTTTCTTACTGTAAATTCAGGCTCATTGCTTATTAAATATTAATGTGTTCACCATTTCCAGACCAAATAAGCAACTAAATTTTACATCTAAAGAAGGGCATAGTTTTATCCCATCATCTTTATCATTATTTCCAGTCTTTCATGATTTTATGTCCCCATAACCATTAACTTGAGTCTCAGGCATTATCAGACTGTGGCAACAAAATTAAGTCGCACTTCAGTTTCAAACCCAAATTATTATGGAATGGACCCAGATCAGTAAAACTGCAGAAAACTGGCTCTCCTTAAATTGTTTCCTCAACTATTTCTGGGACTTCCAGGGTAATGCCTTATAAATATTCAGGACTGGTAACCATTTTTAGCCCTGCCTCTTTATCATTTTTTCTAGTCAATAATACCGCTGAGTACCACTGTCTTCCCCTGGTAACCACTGTTGATGCACCCTTACTCTTACTCTGGCCTCCAAGCAAGGTTAGTCCTTCTCCAAATTGACCTTATCTAAACTGTCATGAAATCAATTCTCTTAACCTTATCTTGGAAGCTCAAGGGAAAGAAAACTGAAAACAGAATAACTTACAACAGCCAAGAGAAGTAGTTATCTTTAGAGTTGACTAGGCCAAATCCAGAACATGAAACCCCGCCTCATTCCCAGCAATCCATAATGTGGCAGGGAGGAGATCAAAAGGAAATAGGCAGCTCTAGATACCTCCCTACCTTGGAGTTGAGGTCCCATTGTCTCCTAACTTAGAGAAAGAAGTTCTCCAACTCATTCCAACCTGAAAGAAGATGGGCACTTTCTCCCACCATAATATTCACACACACACACACGCGCACACACACACACACACACACACACAACCTCCCAAAACTAAACAGTAATGATTAGCTATAAAATAGTCAGACACTCCACATGTGGGCCGGGGATTTAGCTCAGTAGTTCTACCACCTGCCTCGCAAGCACAAGGTCCCGAGTTCAATCCCCAGTACCAAAAAAAAAAAAAAAAAAAACTCCACATGGAAAAAGAAATACTCGCTAATTCACTTAAGTCACAGTTCTGATTATCCATCAGGTAGAGCATGTGCTGTCTCAGCTTGAATGGCTGTATTTGGGTTACTTTTCCACATCCAGGAATTCCTAAAGAATGTAGAGCATGTGACTTTTATCTGTACCATGATTTTTCAGTCTTGGCACTATTAACATTTTGGACCAGATGCTATGGTAGCTATCCTGTGCACTGTAGGATGTTTAGTAGCATCTCTGGCCTTTACCCACTAGATGCCAGTAGTACCCCCTGACCCCCAGATGTGATAACCCAAAATAACTCTAAATGTTGCCAGTTGCCACTGAGGACCCAAATCATTCCCAGTTGAGAACCACTGATCTGTTTTATTAGAGGTCCTCCCAAATGGCTGCTTCCAGAGTTAATGAAAGATCTCTCCAAAGATAAGTGGATGTACACAACAAATACATGGATGGGTCTCAGTGATAAAGTGACCACAGCAGTACAGAATGCTTTGCACAGCAGGATTCTATTGCTAATAGAAATATAGATGTGGAGTAGAATCATAAAACCATGAGCAGGAAGAATACACATCAATTTAATGAGTTTTATTGCCTTTGGAAATAGAGGGATGAAATCAGGACAGGTTAAGATTACAAAAGAAAATTCAACTCTTTCTATAATGTTTTGCTTATTTTAAAAAAGAAATCTAAAAGAGTACTGCAAAATGTTATCATTTTTTCATTCCAGCTAGTTTATATATAGATATTATGTCACTCTTCAAATTTTACTGCGTTTGAGGGGGAAAATACATAATAAGATGTGAAAATATAGCTTAAATTCCACATAATATTCTTTAATGCTCTATTATTAATTTTTCAATCATCTGGTGTTTCTCATTCATATTGTTGCTTACTTTCAGGATTGTAAGTATCTATGAGTTGGCAGTGTTTTATAGAGTAATTTCCTGGCTCAGACTCTGATGACAACAGTAATATAAATGCTCTCACCTTTATATTTGTGTAACATTTTATCTTTTCTCAATATTCTTATATTTGTCTTCTCTTTTTGTATTCACAGTTTCTCTTGCCATCAATCTTAGTCTCGACTATATTTATATGTAAATGTGTAAAAAGGTTTCTGTGAACACTTTTTCATTGGCATCTCCCTTAAGCTTGGGTTGCTTAACCAGTTACTAACCCTGAGACATCAGATCTTTGTGCAAGCAATTTATTTCCCAGGTGACTCCACAAAGCACTGCTGGCAAAGTGAGACAAGAGAAAGAAGCTAAGAACTGGGCATTGGGAAAAGAAGAAGGAGAAGGAGAAGCAGAAGAAAGAAGAAGCTAAGAAACAGCACATAACAGAGCAGGTACAGTTAAGGACTATTAGAGTTGATGGCTATTGAGGCTCATTCTTGCACATTTGTTTTATGGCTTTCATGATACAAAGGCAGAATTGAATATTTGTAATAGAAGTACACAGAGCCAAAGCATTTATTATCTGGCCCTTTTCGAGAAAGTTGCTGACTTCTGCTCTATAACATAAAACTGGGAGAAAAGTTCTTATTTTTAAGTTTCCAGTATGTGAGAAGGGAATATTAATTATTACTTACAAAAATTCCATTTTTATGAAGTAGGTTAGGAGCAAGATAATATTTTAAAAACTTTCCAGAGTTGGGCATGGTGGTGCACACCTGTAATATCAGCACTTGGGAGGCTGAGGCAGGAGGATCACCATGAGTTCGAGGCCAGCCTGGACTACATAGTGAGTTCAAGCCCAGGCTGAACTACATAGTGAGATTCTGTCTCAAAAAACTAAACATAAGTAAATTAATTAATTTAATAAATAAAATTTAAAACTTTTCATAAGAACAAATATTTACACTTGCTCTAATCCAAGAAGAAACTTGAGGCAGTCACATTTTTACTGTGGAACGAATTGGAAAAACCTGGTTCAGACCTAGAAAATAGTAGTTAGTTATTGTGCCCAAACTCCAACTAATTAAGAATTAGAATGATAATGATCCAGTGCTCAGGCTTAGTGGAAGAGAGGACTGTAATTGATAGCATTGTCTACAGTGGGCACAGGAAGGGTAGTAGTGGCCAGTACTGAATGCCAAATATAGGCACAGCTCCCTGTCATGTGATGGGGCCAGGGAAAACAAAAAAACAATGAATGAAAGAGCACATATAGGCTTCTCTCCCTGTGATCTCAGGATGATAAGAAAGGCTGAAGAAAGAAAACTGTACCAATGAGGAAACACTGAGCTAGTGGCATGACTCCTATTATTTGAATTAGGTTTGGAGGTATCCAAAATTCACAGTATTTTTTAAAATTTTTAATTAATAGACTGGTTTTTAGAATTTAGTTTTAGTTTTACAGAAAAATCAAGCCACAAGTAGAGATTTCCTCTCCTCTCCACAAATTTCCCTAATAATAACATCTTGCATTAGTGTGGTACATTTGGTACAATTAAAAAAACAATACTGTGCTTTTGTTTTTGTTTTTTGAGACAGGGTCTCACTGTGTAGTTCAGGCTGGCCTTGAACTCACTCTGTCATCCAAGCTGGCCTCGAACTCGCAGCAATCCTCCTGCCTAAGCCTGCCATGTACATTATTATTAAGTAAAGATTGATTGTTATTTTTGGTTGGTTGCTGTTTGTTTCTTTTTATGTGGTCCTAGGGATTGCACTCTAGGCCTTCACACTGAGACACTGAGTTCTAGATCCCCAGACCTTTTATTGAGTGTGTGTGGTGGTGCTGGGGATTGAACCTAGGGCCTTTGCACTGAGTTATAACCCCCAGCCCCTTTTTTATTTTTTATCTTGAGACAAAATCTTGCTAAATTTCCCAGGCTGGAGTCAAACTTGCAATCCTCCTGCCTCAGCCTCCCAGATTACTGGGATTACAGGCATGCACCATCATGCCTGGCCCCAGGCCTTTTAAAAATTTTTTATTTTGAGACAGAGACTTGGTAAGTTGCTAAGTTGCCCAGCTTGGGTTCAGACTTAGGATCCTCCTGCCTTTGCCTCCCAGAATGCTAGGATTACCACCAGCATGCACCACCACACTTGTCTTTATGGTTGATTCTTTGTGTTACATAGTTTTATGGATTTTGACAAATGCATAATGTTATGTATGTACCCTAAGAGTGTCATATGGAATAGTTTCACTACCCTAAAATTTCTCTGCTCGTCTATTTACACCATACTTCTCAACCACCCCCACCCTAATATCCTGGTGACCACTGATCATTTTTGTCATCTCTGTAATTATTATTATTTTTTTGCAGTGCAGGGGATTGAACCCTAGGCCTCGTGCATGGTAGCCAAATGCTCTACCACTGAGCTACACCCCTAGCCAAATTCTCTTTTATAATTTTGCCTTTTGTAGAATGTCATAAAGTTGAAACTACATAAAATTACACAATAGGTAGGCCTTTTAAACTGCTTTACTTAGGAATATGCATTTAAGTTTCCTTCATGTCTTTTCTTATTTATTTATTTATTTATTTATTTATTGTAGTACTGGAGACTGAATCCAGGTAGTGTCGTGTTATATCTAGACCTTTTTATTTTATTTTGAGACAGCATCTCACCAAGTTACCCAGGCTGGCCTGGAGCTTATGATCCTCCTACCTCAGTCTCCTGAGTATCTGGGGTTATAGGTGTGCACTACCACGCACAGCTGCTTATTCTGTTTTGATAGTTCATTTTTTAATTTACCGAATGATATCTATTGTGTGAATGTACTAAATTGTGTTTACACATATTCATTTTGGTTGTTTCCAGTTTCTGACAATTAAAAGATCTATTTTTCCTCATATATACGTTGGTAGATTGCATCTATCAGGGAATTGGTCTGTTTCATGTGAATTATCAAATTTGTGGGCATAGAGTTGTTCATAATATTCATTTTCTCCCCACCCCTCCTCTCCTCTCCCCTCCCCCCTCCTCTCCCTCCTTTCCCCCTCCCCTTCCCTCTCCTCTCCTCTTTTCTTTTTTCTGGTACTTGGAACCCAAGGCTTCCTCACTGAGCTACAGCCCTTTTTTTTTGTATTTAGAGACAGGCTTTCACCAAGTTGCTAAATTGCCCCTACTGGTCTCAAACTTGCAATCCTCCTGCCTCAACCTCCTAGAGTGCTAGGATAATGTCCGTGAGATCAGTAATGACTTCCTCTCTTTTGTTTCTGGTATTAGTGATTTTTATCTTCTCTCTTTTTGTCTTGATTAACCTGGCTAGGAGTTTATCAATTTTATCACAGAAACAGCTTCTGATTTTATTATTTTTTTCTGTTTCAGTGTTACCAACTGCTGTAGTTTTAAACTCTTTTTTTCTTTAGCCCACATTAGTTTTATATTGCTCTTATTTCTTTAGTTTCCTAAGGCAGAAGGTTAGATTGCTATTCAGGTCTTCCTTCTCCTCCTCTTCCTTTTTTATTTTTTCTAATGAGACAGGGTTTCACTAGGCTGTCCTGGAACTTGCCATGTAGTTCAGGCTAGACTCAAACTCATGATGTTCCTGCCTTAGCCTCCCAAGTGCTGGGATTACAAGTATGTGCCTCCATACCTGGCTCTTTCATTTTTTCTAATAATTTGCATTCAATACTATTAATTTCCCTCTGAGCATTGCTTTTGCTGCAACGAACAAATTTTGAAAACTTTGGAGTTTCATTTTCATTTACCTTAAATATTTTAAAATTTTTCTTGAGAGTTTTTTGATACATACATTATTTAGAAATGCATTTAATATCTAAATATTTTGAGATTTTTCTAGCTGTTTCTGTCATTGACATCTAGTTAATTTCATTGTGGTTTGAAAGCAAACTTTGTATGATTTTTTTTCTTTTATATTTGTTAATATATGTTTTATGGTCAGAATAGGGTCTGTTTTGATAAATGTTCCATGTGAGCTTGAAAAGAATTTGTATTCTGCTTTGTTGGATGAAGTATGCAATAAATGTCAGTTATATCCAGTTGATTGATGGTGCTCTTTAGTTCACCTATGTTCTTACTGACTTTTGATAGCTGGATCTTTAAATTATGGTGCTGAATTTTCCAACTATGATAATGGATTTGTCTATTTCTTCTTGGCATTCTATCAGTTTTGCCTCACATACTTTGAAAATCTGTTGTTAAGGTATATGCATGTTAAAGATTATTATGCCTTCATGGAGAACTGGCCCCATTATCATTACCTTATACCCTACTTTATCCTTGATAATTTTCTGAAGTTTGCTTTGTCTGAATATGGTATTGCTACTCCAGTTTTCATTTGGTTTGTGTTATCATGATACATCTTTCTCTATCCTTCCACTTTTAATCTGTGTATATGTAAAATTTATTTAAATATTAAAGAAATTAAATAGTTGGATCTTTTAAAAAATATGCTCTGACAGTTTCTGCCTTTTAATTGATGTATTTAGATGATTCACATTTAAAGTGATGATTGATATAGTTAATTTGTGCCATAAGTGTGTTCTATTCACTACACTTACTTTCTTTTTTAATTTTCCCCATTTTTCCTGCCTTCTCTGGTTTTAGCTGAACATTTTATATGAATCCATTTTCTCTCTTAACATATCAGTTATACTTTTAAAAAAATTGTAGTGAATGTCCTAAAGTTTGCAATATACATTTATAACTAATCTATGTACACTTTCAAAAAACACTATACTGTTTCTCTGGTAGCACAGGTATCTTATAACAAAGGATTCACAATTCTTTCCTTCTGTTTCCTGTATCATTGCTGTCATTCATTTCATTCATTCATCACCAATACATTATTGCTACTATTACTTTATCTAATTAGATCAATTAAGAATGAAAAGAATTAAAGTTTTATTTCACCTTCATTTATTCCCTCTCTAATGCCCCCCATTATAACTGTTTGTGACCTACGTAATTTTTCTTCTCTCTAAAGAATTTATTTGAACATTTCTTCAAATTCACTCAGTTGTCTGAGAAAGTTGTTTATTTTTTCATTTCTCCATATTACAAGGAAAATTTTGCTAGTAAAGACTTTGAGGCTTATGAGAGGTTTTTTTCTTTAAACATTTTAAATATTTTAATTTATTCTCTTCTTACTTGCATAGTTTCTGATGAGAACTGTGATGTAATTCTTATCTTTGTTGAAAAGGTAACATCCTCTCTCCAGAGATTTTTACAATATTTTCTCTGTGTTTTATTTTTGCAGTTTGAATATGATATGCCTAGATGTAGTTTTCGGCATTTATCTTGTTTGTTGTTTTCAAGCTTCCTAGTTCTATGAGTTGGTGTGTGTCATTAATTTCGGAAAATTTTAAGCTATTAGTATATCAAATATGTCTTTTGCTCTTTTTCTGCTGCTAGTATTCCTATGGTGTAT